GCACTGATGTGGTGCTTGGGAAAACACCTACATGAGAGTATTCACTGTGGGAGGGATGCTGATAGGGCAGCCAGAAGGTGCCCTGGTGAATTTCAAGTCCTTGTAAGGGCTCACATTCAATAGATAATTCAGCAGGTGATTCAGAACTGTGTCTTATGTACCAGAAATAATCCATAAACTAAAAGGTAGGTCTGCTGTAAAAGGAACGCAATATGAATTCAGTCTTATTCAATAGGAATTCAGTCTTCTGATAATTGGCAGATAGATTCTATCCAAATTCCCAATGCCAGGGGAAACTTCAGACATTTGCTTGTAGTGATAAACACCTTCTCAGGATAAATTAAGGCTATCTACCAGAACAGAAAAAGCTTTGGAGATAGTAAAAATCCTCTTAAAGGAGCTGACCCCAAGATACAGTCTCCCCTCTTCAATGCAGAGTGACAATGAATCATGTTTCATTACAAAAGTGACTCAACAAGTGAGCAAAGCATTGGATATCCAACAAAGTTACATGCATCCTGGAGATCCCAATCTACAGAAAAAATGGACAAAATTAATCAATTTTAGGAAAAGAATGGCTAAGTTATGCTAAAACAATCATTTGTGATGGGATAAGGTGTTGCCAAGTGCTCTCCTCTGAATACCAGTAGCCCCCAGAAGTTGGCTTACATTGAGCCCCTATAATAGTGTATGGCAGACCCTTCATAGTACCCCAGGGGGAGAGGGGAAAATATGTCTGTAATAGAAAATACCCCACTAGATAAAAATAGTGTTGTTATGGTTTAGATATGATGTGTCCCCCAAAAGCTCATGTGTTGGCCAATGCAAGAATTTTTCAGAGGTGAAATGATTGGGTTTGAAAGCCTTAATTTAATCAGTGGTTTAATTTACTGATATGGATTAACTTGGTGGTAACTATAGGCAGGTAGTAACTACAAGGGTGTGACCTTGGGGCTTATATTTTGTCACTGATGAATGGAGCTCTCTCTGCTTCCTGTTGCGGGGTTCTGAGCTGCCTTCTTCCCCCATGCACTTCTGCCATGATGTTCACTTCATCTTGGGCCCAGAGCTATGGAGTTGGCTGATCATGGATTGAACCTCTGAAACTGTGAGCCCCCAATAAACTTTTTCTCCTCTACATTGTCCTTGTCATATGTTTTGGTCACAGTGATGAAAAAGCTGACTAAAATAAGTATATACAACAAATCAGTCAAATCATAACTGCTGTACACAGACCTGCTTCTCCCAGGTCCCCTCTAAGGTTAATATTACATGTTCATCCCTTCCAGTAAAATCTCACAAAAAAATAACAATAACAGGTAAAATCCCCCCAGTCTAAGGAGCCCTTTTGTCACCCATTTTCAGCGAGCTTGGAGATGTCATCACCTATTTTCTCATAGAAATAGAAGGTAAAAATTGACAGTGGGCAAATGTAACACTTAATGCTTTGAATATAAACCTTGCTGCTCAACCACAGGTGGCTTATTTTAAAACTGACTTTTTAAAAAACAAAAACAAACAAACAAACAAACTTTTCTTTATCTTACTCTCTCCTCCTCCCTAGCAGTGGGGGAAACAAGACTAAGGTTTCTCCCATCCTAGGCTAAGCTCTCTTGTCCTTCACTACCCACAGTGATACACTGCCCACAGAATAAAGAGACTCCACACCTGGCAGCTGGAGCACTCTCTCAAAGCTCTCCCAAGGACACCTGATGGACACTAAGTAATTATATCTACTGATAATTGGATCCCAAGCCTTTGTATTCCTCCTGGTATTCCTCCTGGTGGAGAGAATCTCAGGCTTGAGACCAAGCCATGTGTTCCTCCTGGTGGAGAGAATCTCAGGCTTGAGACCAAGCCATGTGTTCCTCCTGGTGGAGAGAATCTCAGGCTTGAGACCCAAGTCTACCGCATTCTTTGCTAGCAAATCAATAAAACTTTGTTTTCCTTCTTCTCAAAACCTTGTCCTCGTTATTTGATTGGCACTGGAGTAAAGGACAGAGTATCAATGGGGCGGGAGGAAGAAAGGCTTACATAGCTCCTTCAGATTACATAACTCCTTTCTTCTTGCCTGACCGCCAGTTTCTCCTCTTCCTACTGAAGCACTCCTACATGATCAGAGCGTGTATTGCACGATCAGCACATGCCTTTCAGGCATTAAAGTATAATATTTAGATAGTGCTTATGTTGTGCCAGTCACTGTTCTATATGCTTTATATATATTAACTCATTTATCCCCACAGCAGCTATTTTTCTCCTACAAAGAAAACAACACACACACAATTTTCTTTCCTACTTCCTCAGAATTCCTTTGGGTAGATAGGCAATTGTTGTTTCTAACAGGAAAGTATAGTCCAGCCAAAGGAAAAAAAATATTGACAAAACTGTCCCTGAGGAAGCCTAGTAACTGGCAGAGACTAGTTTACTAGGCAAAAACTTAAGTTAACTGTCCTAAATATACTGAAAGAGCAAAAGGAGACCATAGACAAAGAATTACAGGAAACCAGGAAAATGACATCTGAATAACAGAGCCTACCATGAATAGCTAGAAATTATAATAAGAAACCAAGTAGACATTTTGGAGTTGAGAAGTATAATAGCCAACATAGAAAATTCACTAGAGAGGTTCAACAGCAGATTTGAACAGATGAGGTTATTGCATCAGTGAACTTGAAGACAGGTCAGTTGAAATTATTCAGTTTGAAGAGCAGGAGGAAAAAAGAATGAAGAAAAATGAACAAGGTCTCAAAGACCTGTGAGATCCATCAAGTGTACCAATATATGCATAATTAGAGTTCTAGAAGAAGAGGAGAGAAGGATGCTAAGAGAATGGTTGACAACTTACCAAAGTTGATAAAAGTCATGAATTTCCACATTCGAGAAACTTTAACAAACTCCAAGGACAAACCCAGAGAGGCACACATGGAGACATATTAGAACAATGGCTACTATATACTGAATAGTCATCACTGCTACTATTATTGCTGTTGCTATACACTCACACAAGGAAGCAGGGCAAGTGTTGACTGTAGGGTCAGTGCCAACTCAGGGCATCGTGGTTAAATGGGAAATCTGAGGTTTTGAAGGTCTGTATTCCTATTCTGACTTTTTCCAGCTCTGTGATTGAAGCTACTTACATGACTTCTCTGAACTTCAGTTTTTTTTTTTAATCTTTTAAAATATCGATAATCATCAGGTAAGTGTGTTTGTGTGAGGATATTACCTGTGGCATGTGTAAAAGCACCTAACAGCATTTGTACATAGAAGATGTTTAAGAATTGAAAACTTTATGAGGAAAGTTTGAGGCTGGGATCCACTGGGGAAGGGATCTTCGCCTTATGCAAGAGCCTAGAACAATACGTAGCAGGTAGTAGGTGCTCCATATATACTTGTTGATAATTGAACCTGAAGCATTTGGGGCTGGCCATTGTCAAGATCAGAAAAGTGTTATACATATAGACTTCAGTGTAGTAAAATTCTTTTTATATATTTTCTAAGGGGAGAGGGTTGAAATATTTACCGAAGCAGGAACTTTTATAGTACAAAAACTAGTATATTTCTTATGGTGTTAAATATTAATAATCATGAAGTGTAAGAGAAATGTTGACAAATGGATATTTATGGGCTCTCCCTCATCCCATAAAATTGCTCAGCCTTTTGCAGGAACCATTGTTACTTCTCCCTCAGGTAGGTGTGGCACCAAATTCAGGAGCATTACCTCTGAAGAGCTTAGGAGCACACCACTTTTCCCAGCCCCTAAATTAGTAGATGGAAATTTTTGGATGGGAAAATTAATTGTTTAGTGACCTTTTTGGACACTAGAAAAGAATCACAGCCAACCTGTCTCTGTGGCAGGTTACTCATGAAGCCAAGCCTTAATGAATAAGCAGACTTGAGTATTTGCAGTGGGGCTTTCTTCAGTCCCAAACAACAGGGAGTGGTAAGGAATATCATCCGAATGTTCTAAGGAGGAGAGGGAAACATGGAGTCCAAACTTGCACAAGGCACATGATTTTAGGGATCAGGAGAGAGTGCTGGCACCCTGGAACTTAGCATACTTATTAAAAGAAAACTTTGCTGCTTATTTTAAGCTTGTTACTGGAGATGCCATGGATTTTTGTTGTTGTTGTTGTTGTTTTATATTGTACTATAAATATTGTATTTTGCTCCCCAACCCCCCTTTTTTTTTAGTGGAAAACTACTAAGAGGAAAATGACAAGTTTGTACTTGGGAAAATGAAAACCGAGATAAATTTATCCTTAGGTTTGACCTTGAAGACATACACACACTCATTCCATAAATTTTTTAATACATAAATGAATAAAACTAGAATTTTCTGTTTTTTTTTATATTAATCATTCATTAAAGACTTATCTTTGAATTTAACACATTCATCACGTTTATTTGGAGTATCATTTACTCGGTGTAACTTAGGAAAAAAAATGCCTTTTTGACATAATTTTTCCTGTCATTTTTTTCCTGTTCAGACATTGTATCTTCTTATTCTCTTGCCCTTCATAAGCTACTGGTGTGAATAAGAATGGAAGCTGCCAGTAGCTTCAGGACTATTTCTCCTTTCCCTTTCATCCATGAGTTACCTGAGCAGGTTTGATCAGAAATCTGAGATTGTCTTAAAAAGAAGAAAGGGTTCTTCCCCCAGAAACTGGGGTGGGGGTGGGGGGGGAGGTCAAAGGAATCCTTTGGTAATGAACAAAAGCTCAGGTTGGCTGTCAACGTGTTAAACTGAGAGGCAGAACTCCAGGTGATAGTCAGAGGAGGTCTAAGTATTTACAAAAAACATAATTTGTGTCCTGAAAGACCCAGTTGAACATCTGTGTGACCCAGATACACCAGTGAGTGCCCTAGGTCTGTGGTCTGAGGCAGAGGCAGTGGGGTGCACACTGGAGAATGCGGAGCCTTCACTCACACAGTCCAGCCGTGGCAGGCATGGGAGCTGAGCATGGAGGGATGCGCTGCAGGTGGAGCAATCACTGTTTGCTTTAGAAGAGGAGTTTGCTGGTGAGAAAAACAAGCAGGATGTGGATGGCACCTGCAATGGGACTGCTGAGTGCTCTGACGGCCAAGCTTTTCGTTGTGGCTAGGGTTGTGGTCCTGGATGTGGTCCTGGATGTAGTCATGGTTGTAGTCATGTTTGTAGTCATGGTGGTGGTCTTGATGGTGGTATTGGTTGTGGTCTTGGCTATGGTTGGGATTGTGGTCAGGCTGTTCATGTGGTTGGAGGTCCAGGGTGTGGCTGTCACTGGAAAAAAATAAACAAACAAACAAACAAACAAAAAACAACTGATGATCTCAGAACCTCTGCTGCATGGTGGGTGGGCACCAGAAAAAAGAAGCTCACCTGACAGAATTCCGGCACCAGAGTTCATGAGTAAAATGCAGTCAACACTCTCCAGTGCCAGATATGTGCAGAGGAGGGGACAGCTGGGGGTAGAGTGTTAAGTACAAAAATAAGCCTCCACCCTGAGGTGTGCACAGCCCTGCAAAGTGAGGGGGAGACCTACTGAATAAATATGACTGCTGAATTTATTGTTGGGGCAGGTAGTCTGCCCTCAGATATCTTTATGTCTTTAATATTAGATTAATCAGGGCAAATATGATCCAGAGTGGCAGACCTTTATTCTTCTTGCTAATGTCAAGAACTTGAGAGAAGTTGATATCATTTAGACCTTTAACTGCTTTAAAACTAATGGAAACCCCTGGCTCTGGTTTGTGAAACTCTGGTCATTTTCACATGCAGGGACATGACCAGACATTGGTTCTCTGAAGTTGTCTTGCAGAGAAAGCCAGACTTGTAGTCCTGGGGGCTTGTCTGATCCTAGAAAAATTAGAACTTGGCAGTAGTAGGGTTTGAGTGGACCACAGAGGGAACTACAGGATGAGGAAGAAGGGCAATGTCCAATAATTCACCCAGACCAAGGCAATCTTCCACCGGCGTGGGGTGTGCTTTCCAGTTTGGTGGCATTGACTTATCTCATTTAACATTTCCCTAGGACAAATATTCTCTGGCATTTTGTGGAGCCAAAGAGTTGGAACATAACTACTTTCTTTTTCTTTTTTTTTTAAACTGGATTTTTATTAACATAAAGCTAGGGGGGCCTAATTAGAAATGAACTTCCCCTCCCCTTCTTAGCATTTACATGAGTATTCATCTCAAAAATGTCCTCGAGGAAGAAAATAACATCCCAGTTCTCTCATAGAGGGAAAGCCACCAAGGAAACAGTGAAGACTTTCATATAATAGTTTCATTAGGCATAATCACTTTAAAATTTGTTGTTGGAAATAATTATTCCCTTTGAGCACATTTTGCAATGCATGACTGGCAGGAAAATAGGCAGCATGCTGGATGTCTTTCAGTGCTCTGGGCTCCTGAGGAAGTCCTGTTATCTGGACACTGAGAAAGACTAATGTTTCTCATTCTTGGGTGAATCTTATGTTTAAACATTTCATCGGACAAGATTATCTTTTTTTAGTTTTAACGTGAGAAAAGTGAAAAACAGTATAAAATGTAGAATGGAAGATCTTATTTTGCTCTAGATTTTCTGTGTCATCTTAGGCAAGTTGCATGTTTTCTGAACTTCCTTTCTTGAGTTTAACTCCCTACTGGGAGTTAAAAGTACAAGGAGGCAAGAGAAAAGGAAGGGGACAGAGAAGGGAGAAGATAGGTGAGGAATCTCCGGAAGGAGTAAGGTTGAGTCTTGCTAAATTGATAAGGGTCTCCCCAAATTGCTGTCTGCCTTCTAAATGTAGATCCTCTGGCCTCAGCCTCCTGAGTTACTGGAATTATAGAATGTACCACTGCATCCAGAAAAATTATCGATATTTCTATAATATCAACTTTTTTTTGGTATAACTCTCCACTCCCATCCTCACCCCCATTTGACATTCTTTGGCCAATTGTTTACTCTACCCAATGAAGGCTCTGTGTGGGAGGAGATTCTCTGTGAAAATGGAAAAGGATGTTGATTTTCATATAGATGTCTATGTAATAATGGATAAAAACAGATCCTATGGAAATAGGAGTTTGGAGTCACAGTAACTCGGAGACTATAAGGCCTTTAGGAATTTATAGAGATCTTGGTGAGGGCTTTATTTTCCAAAGGGCATGAGATAAGAGTTTGAGCAAATCTTATAGAGGTTCCTAGGTACTGGAATCCTCAACTGATATCTGGGTAATACATAATAAGCAGTGCCTTTTTTTCCTAGCCCCCCCCCAAAGTAATTTTCCTGGACAGTTGAGTATACTGCTAAAAATGCAAATGGGCCTCAGAGGAACTCACCTTTTCCTCCTAGTTTCAGAGAAGAAAGTGTAGCCGTCCGGTTGAGATTGACAGTGAAGACTCTGTGGAGGGAAAATTAGTGAGACAGATGGTGAGGATCTCAGCTGCAGGATACACAAGTTCAGCTCACATCTCTGCCTTTCCTGGGCACCCCACCCTCTTCACCTCTTTTGTGCTGACTTTCTCCATGACACAATCAGCAGATCATTCAATATTGGTCTGCTCTATGTTGTCTTGACTAGTATCCTTCAAGGTCTTACTTCCAGACAGCCTTTCCCATTCCCCATCCCCACCAGCTTCACCAGGCTGAGTTCCTCACAGGCTAGTACACGTCTCTCGTCTTTGTTCAAGACAGTTGCTCTGTCTATAACACCTGGTGACATGTCTCCTGGCTGTACCTGTCTATAGGCTCAATAGTAACTTTTTCTATGAAGTCATTTCTCCCTGTTCCTAACCCAGACAGATCTCCATCAGGGGAGAAGTACAGGGGAAGCTGAGGTGTCTGGACTTTGTCTCTCTGACCTCACAGTGAACTCCCACAGGCTGGGACCTCCTCACATTCCCTTTCTTCCCTACTCAGCTCAGTGCCCACCACAGTGGAGTCACTTATGTCCTGTCTTTCCCTCCCTTAGAGTCAGTCTTGCCCATCAAGGCCATGAGAGTAGCGTGTACATTGTGAATGAGCAGAGGCTGGCGTGTTCTAGTGGGTGTGTGAGTTAGAGGGGTCTGAGACCAGGCTGTCAGTGGGATTGTGCTATTTCTCTTGCAGATTGTCATTTTGGTCCTTTTTCTGTTGTTGCATGGGGTGTGGAGGCTTTAATGAGGTGAGATGGGAGGAAAGTTCTTATTCTAATTAGGCTTGGCTGGCTTCTAAGCAACTGCTGTCATTGTGAGGCTGAACAGTAGCAGTTCCCTTGGGCTTCTGCTCCTGTATGTCACCCTGTGGGCATTGTAGTCCCTCCTCTGAAACCAATTAAGTCAGACCAGGCCAGAGCATGACTGGAGAGAGCAAAACAGCTCAACAGACTCACCATCAGGGTCACCAGCTACCAGAAACTGGGCTGTTCACAGTGGACATAGCCTGGTAGTCAGGCCTGCCCTTTCAGTACAAAATGACAGCCTGAGAACACAAACACATCCCAGCACTTGGTTCCTAAGGTAAAGCTCATATCAAATCCAGAGCTGGGAGGAAGGTTTGTTGTTCAAATGTCATGCTAGCTTTAAGTAGCCTCACCTCAGAATCTGATGGCATTCATTTTCTGTGACAGTGGGAAACCTGTTCTATTACACAATCACCACCTTCCTGTTAATAAGCCGTTTCCAAAATGAATCTGTGTTTTAAACAGTGATTCTCTAGTTTGCATATAGAGAATCTGAAAGAAAAATGGTGCCCAGTTTTCTCTGTTTATGTGGAACATAACTGGTGTGGTGGTGGTGGTGGTGGTGGTGGTGGTGGTGGTGGCGTGTGTGTGTGTGTGTGTGTGTGTGTGTGTGTGTATGTATGCACATGCATGCACGTGCATGCCTGTATGCATATGCACAGGTGAAAGGCATGGCAGAGAATGGTAAGCAGAAAAGAAGCACCACTTCTGGTTTTTCTGCGTTGCATCCAGATTGTGCTTTAATCCTCTGGGTCAATGTAAAACTGCAAAGACCCAAATAAAAGTCTAAAAGCCCAAAGCAAAGTGAGACAAGTACTTACTGCAGCTCAACTTCAGTTAAGTCTTCAGAACCAGAGACTATCCAGTTTGCCTTGAGGAGTGGGTGCTTGAAGCTGGTCACGTGATACAGGGCGCTGCGGTTGCAGTCCTCATCTGCGTCTTGCCAGAAGCCCACTGAGTGGCTGTTCTTGTCAAAGGCCTGCAGGACCACAGCGCTGTCATTGTCGTTCACAGGAACCCATACTAGGAGAAAAGAGTGAGAAAGCCATCAGACACCTGCAGTGTGGGCCAGGGCATGGGGCACAAAATCAAAATAAGTGTGAGGAAAGACACTTGGGTACATAGATGGACTGGGTTGTGGCTCAGTGGTAGAGCGCTTGCCTAGAATGTGTGAGGCACTGGGTTTGATTCTCAACACCACAAAAGAATAAATAAGTACATAAGTAGAATAAAAAAAATTTTAAAAAAAGAATGGGTACATAAAGCATGGTACTATTTTTGAAAAAGTTGAAGAATGTCTGGAAGGAAATACATTGAGATGTTAATTGTGGTGACCTCTTGGTAGTGATTAGATGATTTTAATTTTCTTAGTGCTTTCTTTTTTTTTTTTGGTGTGTTTCCAAATTTTCTACAGTGAAAGGTGATTGAAAGACCTGTCCTCTAGCCTTGGTTTGCTACAGAGGGGTGGGATCCTAGGAATAAATTTCCAAACCTTTCTGAGCTAGGTTGGCTTGGCCTCCTCCAGGGGAGTGTGAGGATGGTTAATGGATGTGAAAGTGTCAGGTGGGCTCTTGAGATGTGCTCCAGGAATATAATACTGTTGCTAAGTAAAAGCAAAGTACATCCCAGGAGTGCTAATGCTCTTGGGCTCTGATGTTGAAGGTATGGGAAGGGGGTGAGGTTGGGGGGGGGGGGCTCTGAGACCTAAACTAAATACCTGTCAAATAACTCCTTAGGCTTATTCTCTGCTCAGATGAGTCTTCCCTTGTGACCCAGCCTGGCATTTACTTACAGGGACCTTGCTGATACTTGTTAATTTCAGCATTCTTATATGTATTGGGGGAGAAAATTTGAAGAGAATATTTCAATCTCTCCATTTCCTCCCTTAGAAGATGGCTCATGAGTGAATTCTCAGTATTAGGCTGATGTTGTCTGCAGGGATCTCTCACCACCTGAATGCCTTCAAAGACTTCATCACAGAATAGAGAAAGTGGATCATGTAGCTCAAACAGTCCTGAACTGAATTCTAGCTCTAAAACTCAGCAGCAGGCTGTGTCACCTTTGAGCCTTTGTTTCTTAGTGTTCATCCACACTACACCCATTTCTTGAATGCCCACTTTACACCTGTTCTGGGTTTGGGGATAAGGACATTACCCCTCATTATCTGGGATCATGATACCTATCTAGAGATGTTCCTGGAAAGATTAAAGAGAAGAATGTTAAAATCTAACACATTGTGGATGCTAAATAAATTGCAGATGTGATTATTTTTAGCACACTACATTTCTCTTGGCTAGTTGTTTGCTTTGCCAATCAAAATCAGCTGATCCAATTCCACCAGCCCCGACTTGCTCAGGGAGCCCTAACATTTGTCCTACATCATGGCGGAAGGTGACGCATGATGATATCATTCAGATAGTCATTAACTCTGTCGGTTCTCTAAGAATGTGTTCTTGCCTGTTCTTTCTACTTTCCCCCTTTCACTCTGGATTAAACCCTCTTTTCTCCCTTCCTAGGCACCTGTATCCCTGGATTTCTGGCCTCAAGCTTTTCTCCCTCAGGCTGCCTTACAACACTGTGGCCAGACCAGACTTTCTCCCACAACCTGTGCACCAGGACACATACCTGTCCAAGTGTTCCTCCTTCTAAAGCATTGAAAAATTCCTGCTTTTTTTTTTTTTTTTAATATTTCTGCTTCTATCTGGTCAATAATAATACCCAGCACATGGTTTTCAGGACCCTAAAACCAAGCTTCATTCTGCTCTTTGTATTCTGCTCTAGGAATAATTTCTCCCCGTTCTGCAAATGTACCTAGCCCACTCCGGGCCCATCCCTGGCCCTGGTCTTCATTCATGTCTGGCTGCTGTCTGGAATCCTTCCCTTCTTCCCATCCCCTCTTCCACTCCAACATCCTGCCCATGTCCCTTCTCTGGACCAATTTAGCCCACTTTTCCTCTCACACCTGAAACATTTACATCTTTTACTGTAAAGTTGAGAACTAAATTATACTTTGAGGTTTCATCTGTGTCAGTATCTGGCCATCCCAGTTCTGGGCACCTGGAGGGCAAAAAAATAACTGCTTGCTGATTGATTTTAGAAGTTGTCCATCTGATGTGGTACTTTAAACTGCAAGTTAAGAAAGAAAGGCCAGCAAATCATATCCCTCTTGCCCAAAGAGGAAAAAAAAAAATAGAGGCAGATGCTGACCCAGCACAGGCTTAGAGTAAATGCCACTGCATTAAGGGTTTTTCTCTCCTAAAATCAAAACAGACCCAGGGAACCTGTTCTAAGATATTGCCTGAGCTGTGACTGTCTCTTGGTATCTGCCAAGTCATTTATACTTGTCTTACTAATGTCGACACAATGCTCAAACATAAAAGAATTCTGAAACCAAAATAAGGAAAGCAATTGGCTTGGGTCGGCATTTACTCAAAGTCCCTAGAAGCCCTGAGTCCTGGCAGTGATGATCTACAAAGGCAGCCACGGAGCCTGCTGGGTAGTTGTTGGTGTGGAATCTGGCTCTTCTTATCCCTGTGGGTAGAGGATTTTGATCTTCAACTTAAAAGTATTCCCATCACGAGTTAGATTACCACAGAGACCTCACATGTCCCTTCTGAGATGGAATCTGATAATGTGCATAGATGGGAAAACATTCAAAGAACCCTCATTCTTTTCCCCCTTCCCTTTTCCTGGCTCCTGCTGGTGCCTCTGTAAACACTGTGGTTGCCTTTTCCCCCAGTGGATCACCTTGTCTTCCTGTTGCCCTCCTTTCAGAAATCTGCCATGTCTCCACAGGGTCTTCACATGATAAGCTTCTCATTTTCCCACTTCACTAACAAAAATCCTTCACCCCATGGGACGGCATATGACATCAGGGCCCTGCTGGCCTTCTTGCCACAGTGCCTATGAATCCTTGATTCATGCACATACTTACTTGGTACTCATTATATTATACTATCCTCCCTGCCATGCTAGAATGAGATCCACTGCCTGAGGGAGTGGGACCTAGTTAGCCCTATCACAACTCAAGCACTTAGTGGCAGTCCCCAGGAAAGAGTAGAAAGAACAGATAAGCTAGGCTGAGTGTGTGAAGGCATGCCATGGTTGTTCACCTGCTGAGGTCAAGAATCTGGAGACTGTGAGTGCAGCTGTCACCCTGGAGTCCTCTGCACGATGTGGTTAGACTTTTAAGAGAGGCGGGATAGCACAGGGGATAAGAAGACTGGATCTGAAGCTAGACAGATCTTGTTATTTAGGATCAAATATTAGCTCTGTTACGTTCTAGCGACCTTAGGGAAATTTTGAACTTCTCTGTGCCTCCATTCTCATGGGACAATAATATCCCTTAGATAGTACCCAGCACGTAGTAAAGAGTGTTGGCTCTCATTTCTGTAATTAAGAGATGTGCAGTCAGGGTCAGGTCTCTGGTTCATATCCCAGCTCCACAGTTCCAGGTGCCCTGTGGCCTGAGGAAGTCACTTAGCATTTGTGCCTCAGTCTGTGGACTAAATACATTCTTACATATAAAGCATCATGTCAAACATTGTTGCTGCCTCATGAAACTAATTAGAACCCACATTCTTTTTTTTTTTGTGTGTGTGGTACTGGGGTTACTAGGTTCAATCCAGGACAGAGAGCATGTTCCTTGACTTCTGAGTTTGACTGATTCCCCAAAGGGGATTTATAAAATACTTTCTAGACACTTCTAAGGAAAACATTGGATTAAGAATAGAAAGACCAAGAATCAAGAGCTGGTTCTGCCACCGGCTAGCAGTGAGACCCTGAGCACAGCATTTAACCTCTTTCAGCTCCGAGTTTCTCACATATAAAGTGGGATGGTGATGTTTTCCCCATCTGTCTAGTTGGTAAGATTTTTTGCCCATTAGGTTAAGTGCAAATGAGGCCTCCTGGAATTGTATGATCATCACTGCGTCACTGATTTGTCAAATGGATGTAAAAAAAGACTATATACCGCAACGCAGTTATGTCCCTTAAAATGATAAAAATGCCCATTTTATTTGTCAGAGAATTTGTGCCAGGTGTGCTTTTGCTGGGCTTAGTTAATCTGGGCCTTGGACTTCCATGCCTCTGTGGTCCAGGGAACCTGCAGAAATAGTCCCCTTGGTCCACTTTCTCACATAGTTTTGTTCTTTCTCTTTCTTCCCTCACTTCCCGACCAATTTAAAAGCATATGTTTTTCGTAACTGAAAGCAGGGAAGGAGGGGTGTGCTCTGAACCTGTGACTCATACCCCTCAGAGAACAAGGGACAGCAGAAAGAATGGCTTTTACTCACCTGTGTAGTTTGTGTTGTTCTCAAAGACGTCTGGGGTGACTGTGATGTTGGAGTTGTTGGTGGTGACGAATGTGTCAAAGACCATGCAGTTGTCTTTGTAATGTGTAGGGCTGGCAGAAGAAAAGTACAGTGCACAGCACAGAGACAGCCCCAGTTGTAGCAACATGGATCGGGGGACTGCCATGGCCTTGCTGTGTTTGGAAGTGGCTGAGCCTGGCACTGGTGAGGCTGACAAAGACCGCTCCCCTGTTTATATGCTCTGGGGCTGAGCTTCTGCATGAGGTCAGACATGCAAATCTTTGTCCCACCCCTCCTGGAAGCACACTGCCTTCTGGAATTTGGTTCAAGACATCACTAGCAATGATGAATCACCAGTTGCTAGTCACCTGTCCCTAATGATCCTTTACCTACTTACTCCAGTTTTGCTCAAGAAGGGAAATGTTCAACTTAGAGTTTCATTTTGCTCTCACTCATCTCAGCATCTGCTATTTGGGGAAAGCAGTTGAGAAGTGTTCAACACCAACGGAGGGAAATTCACACAAGTAATTACCACATACTTGGTCTGTTTAAAAGCTCTGTTCTTTCTCCTGCAAGAAATCTGGGTGCAGGAGCCCTCTTTTGTTGAATTATTATACATCCTTTTCCAATCCTCCTTAATTGAAATGTCTCCAATCTCGAGTTCATTTCATGACTGGTACAGAGCCAGAAAGACTGAATATAGATTTTTCTTTATTTCTTTGGAAGGAAACAGCTTAGGTCCACCTTGTTCCTGACAGTTTGGTCCATAGTGCCATAATACAAGGAAACTATTAAAAAGAAAAAAAAAATCAGGAAATAGGATTTTTTTTTTCACATCTCCCCTCTGAATTTTATAATTTACTCACTGAAGGAGAAAAGAGGAAAGAAATAGGGTACTTTGTGAGTACAAACAAAACAAAACAAAACAAAAATACCCCCAGAATGTAGGATTGAATCAAGGTAATATTTATAAAGTGTTCCTTCGAGAAAAGAACTTAAAGTAATAGAGTGAGGACCTCTGATAAAGCCATTCCTCCATAAAACCATAAGAGCACTGGCCAAGATCAACTTTTTTAGAACTCTGGAAATTAAACAAAGTCCTGCAACAATCTACAAATATTCATTTAAAAAAAGTGGTTGGATATCACCAAGAACAGTAAGCCTTGAGGCATTTTAACCTGCCTCGTTCTACTCCCCGGCCCCGTCTCCATGGGGGCCTTGTAAGCAAACAACCTTATACCTATGGTAACTGTGAAGACCAGCAAAATAACAGCCAAGGGAAGGGGACAGCATGGGCTTGGACCTTTCCAAAAATCTCTCATCATAGAAAACTGCCACTATGTATCAGTATTTGGAAGTTGCTTTATAAAGTTGAATTCTGAGTTTGTCTTTATTTCACCTGACTCAGAACTTTCTCTGTGTGAACAGTCTTATCACTATGATTTTTGTAAAAAAAAAATCAATATGATTATGTCAAAATGAACCCAAATAGTATGCATAAATATAATATGCTAATAAAAGCATGAAAAAAATCAGCAGGAATTTTTAAACATTTGCCACTTCCTGAGGCAATGATTCCATTGGGACGAACAAGAGACTGAGCAAAAATCAAAAGACTAGAGGATGAGAAGTCCACAGTGGGCTTTAAAAAGTTCAAACAAATTCTTGGGAATCCTGAAAGCCATGTGCTTGTGTGGGGCTACGAACATGCCCAGGAAATACCCAAGAAATGTCTCTCCCATTTGGCTGAACTTGAAGCTTTGACAGGCAGGAGGTGAAGGTTAAAGCAGAGTTGTAAACTGTCCACCTGACCAGGTGCCTACCTCGTCTAAGGCATGCCCTAAAATAAACACAGAGAAGCACTTAGCAAAGATGGTCTTGGGACAACTGGACTTCCACATGCAAAAGAATGAAGCTGGACCCCTGCCTTATGCTGTTAAAAATTAATTCCAGATGAATCAGGGAACTAAATGTGAAACTATGAAATTCTTAGAAAAAATTGTAGATGTAAATTTTCATGACCTTAGTTTAGGCAGTGGTTTATTAGGTATGATGCCTAAAGCAAAAATAAGCAAAGAAAATAAAATAGGTAAACTTGACTTTATCAAAACTAAAAGGTTTTGTACTTCAAAGGGTACTATGAGTGAAAAAGAGAACTTAAAAAATGGGAGATGATATTTGCAAATCATGGATCTGTAAGGGCCTACTATCCAGAATATATAAAGAACATTTGTAACTCAACAGAAGAAGACATATAATCTAATTAAATGGCAAAGGATTTGAACACTTTCTCCAAAAAGAAATACAAATGCTCAAGCTGGGTGGGGTGGTGATCCTAGAATTCTAGCTGCTTGGGAGACCGAGGTAAGATTTAAAGTTCAAGGGGAGCTCTGGCAACTTAGTGAGACTATCTCAAAAAAAAAAGGACTGTTGTAGAGCACTTGCCTAGTATTCACAAGGCCCTAGGTTCAATCCCAGTGTGGGTGTACACACACACACACACACACACACACGATACCATACAATGAGATACTACTTTACAGACTATAATCAAAATAACACAGAATAACAAGTGTTGGCAAAGATATGGAGACACTGAAAGCCTCATGCATTGCTGGTGGGGAATATAAAATGATGCAATTATTTTAGAAAACAATTTGAAATTTCTTCAGAAAATTAGACATGGAGTTCATACTATACAGTCAAAGGACTCCACTGCTAGGTATATGCCTCCCCCAAATAAAAGCACATGTCCATGCAAAAACTTCTGCATGAATGTTTATAGAAACATTATTCAAAATAGCCAAAAAGTGGAAACAATCCTTTATCTATCTACTTGTGAATGGAGAAACAAAATGTGGTATGTCTATGCAATGGACTACTATACAGCTATGGGAAAGGAATGAAATACTGATACATGCTACAACATGGGTAAACCTTAAAAAGATTATGCTGAGTGAAAGAAGCCAGACACAAAAGACCACATATTGTGTGATTTCGTTTACACAAAATATCCAGATTATGCAAATTCATGGAGATAGAAAGTGGTTTCCAGGTACTAGGGGAAAGGGTGAAAGGAAAACGACTGCTAATTGGTTTGGGGTTTATTTTAGGGGTAAAGAAAATGTTTCTGGAAATAGTGATTATGATATTATAACCTTGTGAATATACTAAAAACCCCTGAGTTGAATTTTGTGGTATGTGAATTATCTCACAATAAATATTTTAGCCATGCAGGCAAGTTGGATAGTAGGAGGATTGTGTCAGGGCTTAAGTATTATATCTGTTCAGAATCCTGGATTTGAGAGAACCTTTAACCTACTTAAACTTTTGTCTCCACTGTTCACCTTTCTACCCTCTGTGCTAGAATTAAATCCAGACCTTGAGCATGCTAAGCATGTGCTCTGCCCCTGAGGTCCACCTACAAAGTGTCCATTTCTGAAAACTGGAGCAAAAATATCAATCTTAAATATTTTTATGTGTATTAATTGGGAAATATATGTAAACTGCTTTGGAGGATGGGATGGGCCTGACTTACAGATTTTTAACATGTTAATTTCTTTTTTTCCCTCCTTCCCTCTCTCCCTCCCTTCCTTCCTTCCTTCACTTGTACCAGATTGAGGCAGTGGATCAGGAGAAAATAAAACACAAGAGTCCTGCTATTGATATGGGGATGATAGGCTAAACCTCCTTGATGATTGGGAACAGGGAGAATGGGGAACAACCAGGAAGAGAAAGCTCTGATTTCAGCAGCATTGCTACATTCAATTTATTGCGCTCAGTCTAAGAGCCTTTGTGAAGAGTCTGGCATTACCCCTAGGGAGGAGGCAGTGTCTACTAGTTATAGGAGAAGCCATTGACAAAAAAAAAATAATAATAAATAAAATAAAAGTTGTTCTTTGATTCTAGCCAGAAAGGGGTTTGATTTCTCTTAGGATGTGGGACCAAAAGAAAACTAATTTTTTTTTAAATAGACATTTTGGAGGCCTCCCTCTACTCCTCCACCCCTTTCTCTAGAATTCTGGACTCTAGTCCTTGCAAATTCACACTTTAAAAAAACCTCCTAGGTAATTCCAGAGCAGTGCTTTTAAAACATTAATGTGCGTCCCAGTCACAGGGAGCAGAATGTTAACATGCACTCTGATTCAGAGGGTCTGGAGTGGGGCCCGACAGTCCTCGTCTCTAACAGGCCCCCAGATGATATCATGATGCTGCCAGTCCCTGGACCCTACCTGGAACAGCCAGGGCTTAGCAGCTGATCTGAGTAAACTGGGTTGGAACTGGATGTCAGACTAATCATTCAAGTTGGAAACACCAGGTTCTAAGACCACTGTGTACCCCAAACTTGCCAGTCTGCCTGGAGCTTTCATACTGGAGTTCTTCATGCCAAAGGAAGCTGCTGAGCACCTGAGTTATGGCTGGTCTCCCTGGGATGGATAGCTATCAGATACTAGAGCTGGTCTTGTAAGGTCAAGTCTAAAGGGAGGTTCCTTTAAAGTCACCGAAGCGACTACTGGTGGAGGCAGGAGTCATCTGTCTGAGGAACTCTGGGATTTAATCATTTAATCATCTGTCTCCTGAGTGAGAGAGAGGTGTGAGGAACCCTACGTGGCAAACACGGGGGAAAGAGTGCAGGCCTTAGAGGGGCCTGAGTTTGAATCCTGTTCCTTGTAAGACACCTGTACTTAACCTATCGGAGCCTCGGTTGACTTCTTTATATCATGGGGGTAATACATACCAACCTTGCAGGATCTTGCCAAGGTTTAAAGGAGATAATGTAACAAGCCTGAAGCAAAGTCAGGACTACCTAGGTTGTTTTTCCTGATGGCAGGCCACTGCGCTAGCTCTAGGAGAAGGGCCACCAGGGTGGGGAAGGGGCTCCTTTGCCCACAACGGATGCTCAAGTTCACAGGTGCTGCTTTATGAATGAACTTGTGCCTTTGGCTCGCTGGCTCAAACAGTGGTTTTTTTTTGCTCTCAAGGATCCCACTGTGAGGACCCCTGTGTTTTAGGGGTAATTTGGTGGTCAGCCTTTTAGAATTTGCAGACCATCCTTCTTATTCCTTGATGCCTTATACATTCTCCGAGGGAGAACACACTATTTTATATTACATCAAGAATTTTCAGGCTCATCTGGCCCTAAGAAATAATTTTAATGTACCTCTC